TATTTCTTGTAAATATAGGCAAATGTCCGCAATTAGAACCGTCAGAGAAAGAGAAGTCGACAAAAGCACAAGTTATCACCAAATGTCTGGAGACAACTCCACTGCCACCCAATATCACCAGAGATACCGTTGAGTTGCATAGGGAACAGATCGCTGCCTGCGCTCTGCAAAGCGAGGGCTGGTTCACCACTGCCGGCGCCTATGATTTCGGTAAAGCCGAGGCTGAGATCAAGAACAAGAAGCTAACCAAACAAATAGAGGATCAGGTGTTAGGATATCACAAACAGTGCAAAGAGGAGGCCGAGGAGAAGTTCCCGAACACTAAGAACACAGTGATCGCACAAATCCAATTGTACCAGGCTTGTATGGATTACTTCATATCGGATGTCTGTGGCATTGAAGTCAATGAGCCAGAGGCTCCTCAATTCGCCGGCGCTTCCATTTAGTGCTAATCATCTCTTAATTATATAATAATTTTGCAATTTTTCTTAATTAGTTAATATTTTTGTGAAAATACAACGACTTTCTCTCCATTTAATAAAATATATTAAAATTATCGTATCGTTTAAATGATTTTGAATGAATTATTATTTTAAATGATTTCTGAGTTTAATGCTATTTAAACGATCTAACTTAAGAATTTTATTTAAATGTATTATAATCGATTTAATTCTTTTTATTGTTTTTTAATACGAAAATTTGAGAAATATATTGTTTAACAATTATTCGAAATTTACTTATTATTAATCACAATTATTATGTTAAGTAAATGTGAATAATAATTTTATAAATTATATAACACTATGTTTAGATGAATAAATAGATGTATCTATTACATGTCATCTATGTCTATAATATAAAACTATATTTATTTCTAAATTTAAGTCCATGTTTATTCTTATTTGTTTTACTAAGTGTTCAATTCGTACGTAAACTATAATTATAGAATAATATTGAAAGAAATACATTGAATGCATTATTTAGCAAAACAAAAAGTACACAATTGAAAGATGAGAATGTATTAAATGTTATATAATAATAGTAATTATGGATACAATAAATAAGGGAAGGGTTGAGACGGTTTGTACGTTTGAATTGACAGAATTGTCGAATAGTTGAAGCAAATGATCATTAATGAGTACTCCTTTCAGAGTAAATGCACTTTTACTCTATCGGAACAAACATTCTTTGAATGTTATATGAGATTCTGATAAAGACTATTGACGTTAAGTATATTGAAGAGAGGAATACAAAAAATAAAGTTTCATATAAAGTGAAAAAAATATCAATGAAAACAAGAAAAACTGGAAGTAATGGTGAAGTTGATTGTCCTCTCATATAAGTCTCGCACTATTAATACATTCACATCAATGTGTCTTAAATGTGGAGAAGACCTGAAACTTACAGACTCTTAAAGACATATTTTTAATATAAATAACTTATAACATAGTATTTAATTTTTGAGAAGTCTATCAAAAAATTATTTATCACTTTTTCATATCAATCCAAACACTGACACCAAAACTAATTTAAATTTAAACTTAAAATAAAAACTTTGATATCAAAGGTTGCGTGGAGAAAATGGTTCAAAAGGTNGAGAAATCTATCAAAAAATTATTTATCACTTTTTCATATCAATCCAAACACTGACACCAAAACTAATTTAAATTTAAACTTAAAATAAAAACTTTGATATCAAAGGTTGCGTGGAGAAAATGGTTCAAAAGGTGTAAAATGGGAATAAATACTTAATTTGAGAAAAGTTGGTAAAAAATAAGTGATAAAGTTTCATGAAATGAGAGTAAATCTGATCTCATTATAAAATCAAGCAATAAAACATAAAAAACTAAATATTCGTTCAAAGATATTAAATAAATTAAAAATTCATTTATTATTTGATAGTCTTATAAGTGATTCACTTTATAAGAATATTAGCAACGAATGAAAACATTAATTATTTAGTTTTTCTATTAATATTCAGGTAAAAGCATTAACAGCAGTAAATGAATATTAATTACTTATTAATATAAATTTATTTTCAAATCCCCAAATTCGTATGGGAATTCAATTCTACTTAATATACCCAACATTTTCACATTAAATTTGAGTTAATAAAATTTTGCAATATATTTAATGTAATATTTTCAGTATTATTTTTTAATAAAAAACCTTTTAGAGTAAACAAACTCCAAAATTGTCTTTAAAATAAAATTCTGCATGCTAAATATTATTCATTAACTACCGCAGGTGTATTAGTAACTATAACATAGTAAATAACAGATAATTATAGATATTGGATACATCTTTATGGCATTAAAACCTACGTATGGTATAAACTTTTCCCAAAAGAAAAACCAGTGAATAAATAATACATTCATTATGTTTGACGTAAACACAGATTATAATCTTGATAACTCTCTTCTTAGGAATCTCTCTCTCTCTCTCTCTCTCTCTCTCTATCTCTCTCCCTCCCTCCCTCCCTCCCTCCCTCTCTCTCTCTCTCTCTCATAGCTGTTATCAGTGAATAATATAATTAATGTATGGTTTTATATTATATAACAACACAATACAGAGTAAGCATAAGTATTATTATCAAAAGAGTACAGATAACTATATTAGTTAAACTATTACTTTATATTCCGTTTATTTATTGACAATTTTTGTTCAGCAAGTAACGAAAAGCCAAATTAAAGATTGTTTAGAAGTGAAATACATGTGATATAGGATATACCCTGGTGATACGAGACCAAGTGTGAGAACTGATAAACTAAGTACTAATAAACTACAAGTAATTCATGTGAATTAGAAAATCCGGTAAAGAATTGAAAGGAAAAGCGGCAGTGAGTGCAAAACGGATTGTGACAGCGAGTGGAGTGAGTGTGTGGTGTGAGTAATGGTGAGACGACCCCTGCGTTCAAATCAGTCATAAACTGTAATAATATTGTGTTGACTATGAATGCAATGAATGACTGACTGTATGACTGTATGACTGTATGAATGAATTGATGGCTAAATAATGCTATCGAATGCACGCTATGTGTGAGTGGTATGTGTTATGCCTGAAAAACAATACACTTTCGCAGCGTTAGTGCAAAACAACTATGAATTCAATGTTTACTATAAATACATGCAATAATCGGTGAGACAGTGGTGTGAGTGGTGTCACCAATACATGCATTCATTGCACTCATTGTCACTGATATTGAAGTGAGCTATCAGTTCAAGACTAATGATGTGCTAATTATGGCTACAATTTGGTGACCAATTGAGTGATGAGTGACCAAAACATGTCTTCAGTGTCAGCCATGAGTGAGGAATATGTGGGCATTTGTCGCGACTTTTGTCTCATTTGTGGCAAATCTTATGCAAAAGAGTTCGCAAATAAATTGAATGAATTATGTGAAGAGAACTCAGGTCTTGAGCTGAACGGATCCAACATCGATGCCATTATACGGCTATTCACACAACAATTTGCTCAATACTTACACCAAGAACTTGATATCAACTTTATATGTGATAATAATAACCAACACATCATCACCTCTTCAGATACCAATAGTTTAGACGCGAATATCACTGAAACCAATGAAACCAATGCCACGAAACACGAGTTGGACTTCAATGGGACCGCAATCACCACTAATGTCACCAATAGTTGCGATGCGATGGCTGCCAAAGATGGCCACCACTTGCCATATGGCTCGCATTCAGTGAACGTGAGGCCTAAGTCGACGTTCCCCTCGACCACCACATCGACGGCCGGTCCACACACGGCCCCCACCGCCGATGACTACAGCGATCTGTCGGACAACGAGACGGAAACTTCGTCACCGAAAACCCATTACAGAAAATTCTTCCGAAGACTCAGTTTCAAGGGATTGCGAAAAGGTTTCACTCTTTCCTCACATTTGTTATCACTTTTTGCCTTTCAATCCATTTTGATCACTCGTTTCCCGTTTCACTCACTTCTCGCTATTTTTTGTCGTCAAATCATTTTTGATTTCAATAGATTAGCAGTAATTGTTTTATATTTAAATTTACATTTGTTTCAACATTTAAACAAATGTATGGTTAAATGTACCCGTGTTTGCAAATTCAATATCTAATTATTATTAGAGAATTATTGTATGAATAAAAAACAACATTTAATGGTTTTTGACAAATAAGTTACTTAATCATTTCTATTTAATTGAGTTGTTATTTTAGATCTTTATGAATACATTTGCTTACAAATGCTTTTCTATTAGATTATAATTTTAACTTTAATTATATATTTATTTTTATATATTCTAGGAGTCTTATAATGAATTTAATATTGAATTATGCTTTAGTTGTTATTTTGTTTATCATACATTTAAATGTCATGCTATTATGCAAAGTTGTATAACTATTTTCTCAGTCTCTAAATCTCTTTACGACTATATTTGTAGTATATTTGAAAAGTCTATACAAATAAAAAGGAAAAACAAATATATAGACGTTGAATATTATAGTGTATTAAAGTGTGATTTAATGTACAGTACTGTATAATAAAAGTGAAATCTATTTTGTTAATAGAGTTATAGATAGTATTATATAATAATATAAATAGAGAAAACACCGAAAGTAGAGCTCTGTTGTGACAAAAGTAGGCCAAACACTACAGACACTAAAAGCTATTAATTAATGTATATATTCATTAAATGTAATGTTATGTCAGAAACTTATTTATTTATGTGTTTACGAGAAAAAGCTATTTTTCTTGTGATTCCCAGCAGTCAATCATAAGAGAACTCACTCATGTATTGGTTTGTATTGGTTTGTCCCACACATGCTTTTATATTATACTCAATGACTGATTATTTATTCAATCAAATGAAATCAAATACGATTTTCTTGAATTTTGTTTTTATAAAAAATAATTGTTTCTATAATTACTGCGAAACCCCATTAAAGCAGCGCTTTTTCTTATGGTTTTTATTTATTTTTATGATATAATTGCATAGATTTTTGCCTTTTATTTGTTTTTAGCACTAAATCTCGAGAAACTTTCCGATTAAAGTTGTGTTCAATAAACTTAATTTGAGATCATTTTTAGTGATAATTTAGATGAAAAGTGGAGTATATTTTGATCTCATTTCTCTCATCAGAATAAACAAATATATGTTTGAAAATATATTTAAATTTTAAATATGCGTTTAAAAAATGTTGTCTTTATTTTTGAAAACATTGAAAGCATTTGATACATAGAAATAGTATAAATTGTTGTCACACTTAGAACTTGACCTCAATTGTAGGCATCTGATGCATTTATTTTTATATGCGTTTAAAAAATGTTGTCTTTATTTTTGAAAACATTGAAAGCATTTGATACATAGAAATAGTATAAATTGTTGTCACACTTAGAACTTGACCTCAATTGTAGGCATCTGATGCATTTATTTTAAATTTGTCTCATAAATCGATAAATATTTTAAAATATTGTAATTAAATTTTGAATCTATGTTTCGCCGACATTAGTATCGGATTCAAGAAAATATTGAATTTTAGAGTAAAATAATCCCAAAACTACTGGTACTCTAAAAAATGCTTTTAAAACTTGAAACGAAATTTGATTCTTAAGATCCTTACGAATCGCCAGAATTTGAATCGACTTTTATTTGTTTGAAATGAGTTATCGATTATTACTTATAAAAAGATCTCTTGTTTTATGTTTAGGTTTGACTCAAAAAATTGTTTTTAAAAATGTTTTTCAAGAGAGGATTGCCATATAATGAATTGAATAGAGTATACGTTGTGTTGAATATCTATAGCGAAAACACTTCTCATGTAATCACATATTTATATCTNTTGTTTTATGTTTAGGTTAGACTCAAAAAATTGTTTTTAAAAATGTTTTTCAAGAGAGGATTGCCATATAATGAATTGAATAGAGTATACGTTGTGTTGAATATCTATAGCGAAAACACTTCTCATGTAATCACATATTTATATCTACACTATATTTGTCTGACAAATGATTTGTAATATGATGTAGTTTTTGCTCAAATAAGGCACTCATTAATAGTTGACATCCTTTTAGGCAAAGGCTTCTTCCATAAGCAACATTCCGATGAAGTGGAGCTCTCGAACTCACACACCAGTGCCCACAACTCCCATACCTCCCATACCTCCCAGTCCTCCTCAGCCGACACTCAGAGTTCGCGGCGGGAAAAGAATCGCGAGTCGAAAATGGATCACAAATGGCATCACTCGAAGACCGGCTCTAAAGGCTCGCCCAACGAGTCGATCATTAAGGAGGGGGTCGTCAACTACCTGACTGTCGACAACTCCAACATCGATGGCAAACACAAGTGGGAGAAATGCCGCATGGCTTTGGTTAAGACCACCGGTGGCTATATGTTGGAGTTCTACGCCCCCAACAAACCACTCAAACCTAAGTCCGGCGTCTTCTGCTTCCTCATCACCGAAGCCCGTGAGACGACTGCCCTCGAGATGCCCGACCAGGAACACACCTTCGTGCTCAAGGTCTGTCCCATTCCCCTCCCTGTCCACACACTCCCCTCTATTTCATACGTAATACCATTTTATATGTATTTCCTGTTGAAAGGCTGAAAATATGATGGAATACATCATCGAAGCTCACGATACGGAGGATATGCGGCAATGGCTCTCATCTATTAAATACTGTATGCGATTCAGTAGTGACGGAACCACTGACGACAACGAGTAATCAATTATTTTATTTATTTTTTATTTCATTCGTATATTATATGCAATTGTGTTCATTATAAAGAGTATCGACGACTTCCCCGTACGATAACATCCCTCGTCTTCAGGAGGCAGATGGCAATCGTCCGAATCAGCCCACAGTCAGTGATAGTGCGGTATCGGGTCCGGGAGGCGGAACCAACTCAGATATCTGCGGCTCAATGCGAGAGTACCCCTGGTTTCACGGTATGCTCAGCCGGTCAGACGCCGCACAACTCGTACTGCGAGAAGGTATGCAAACAATTACATGTATTGAATGCAGTTATTCATGAATGACTGTCTGTCCGGACAGGCACTCTATGGCACGGGGTGTTTCTGGTGCGCCAGAGTGAGACCCGAAAGGGTGAATACGTGTTGACCTTCAATTTCCAGGGTAGAGCCAAACACTTACGTATGGCTATCATCAATGAGGGCCAGTGTCGGGTTCAGCACTTGTGGTTTCAAACCATATTCGATATGTTGGAACACTTCCGCATACATCCCATCCCTCTAGAGTCCGGCGGCACATCCGATGTCACTCTCACTGATTATGTGGTCTTTTATGAAAAGTATGTTTTAGTTACTCTTAAAACAATACAATATATACTGAAATGTGGTTTTATTGAACACATAGTTCGTCGACAAGTCGTGGCTCACCCTCTCCTCTACTCAACACTCAGAACACAAGCGAACCCCTGATTGGCGGCCAACAGACGGCTAATCACACTCGAGATCGAGTGCCCAGTATTCCCGAACTCCAAGAGATTATCACATACGGCGGGTCTGTGCGCATGAGGTCCACATCCCTCGAGAATCTGCAACAAATGCAATCACAACATCTGGCGAGTGTCGGCACCGCCAACGCCAGGGCTGTCGAAAACACCTATCATTTCGTCTAATTATAGCCATCACTGCATCACTCATTTCATCGATTTTTGATTTGATTTCCTATTTGATTCTCGAAATTGTGATCTTTCTTCCATTTTATTATTATATTAGCGATAATTGCATTCAATTTCTGACACAATACTGTTATTTTAGTTATAATTGATTATAATATAAAATAATATGTAAATTATTTCTCCTATTAATCGTTTTAAAAACTAGTCATTTATTCAATTGTTTGACTTTTTATTATCTAAAATCATTTTTCTTTGAAACGCTTTTTGTGTACATTTTATGTAAAATTGTTTTTATTTTATTATAATAAGAGAAGTGTTAAAAAGTTATTTTCATTCAATGTGTACTTCTCCTCGAAAATTGAGTAAAAAGTTATGTTTGACTCGATATATGTTTGAAATCCTTTTAAAACATTAATGGATTGCAATATATTATGCCTAAAATTAAACTTTATTTGAGATAAGTTTTTGAAAAATCAATATTTTTGAATTTTATAAATATAAATGCCCTTAAAATG